GTCACAACGGTCTCGAGAACTAAGACGTGTGTGAATACACCCGTTCCTGTCACCATGAGCTGAGGAATGACCGGCATCCATGTCGACTTTAGGAAGTGCCGTCGAAGCAAGTACATAGGTGTCTCTATTACTAGTCCTCGCTAAAATTTTGACTGCTATGAGGGCTACCTGGTTAAGCAGTGAGTCCTCGAGCAGTGCCGTCACAGTAGGTTGGATATGAGCTGGTAGTTAACCCAGAACGGTTTCACCGTCAACTTAAAAGTGCTCTTGGAGCACACGAAAACGACGACTGTTACGAAACCTTACCGCTCGTTCTCTTAGGTATTCGAACGAGCTTGAAGGCAGATATCCAATGTTCCGCCGCTGAACTTGTATACGACACGACATTGCGTCTGTTGGGGAATTCTTCACACCACGGAGCAGACCTGATTTTGGTAAATCAGACTACGTCCATCGACTGTCTGCATTTATGCGAACGATGTCTCCGGTGTCAACTCGAATACAACATCGACAGGTCGCTCTCCCTCGAGAGTTATCTACCTGTTCACATGTTTTCATACGAGTAGATTCGGTACGCAAACCTTTGCAACAACCTTACGAAGGCCCTTTTCGCTTGATCGCTCGTCACGAAAAGACCTTCAAGGTTGATCGACACGGCCGCGTCGAGATCGTCAGCATTGAACGTCTCAAACCAGCACACGTCGATGACAGTGCCCTATCTGACAACCTGAGATTCAATGCTAGACCTATCAAACCTACTAGCGGGATCCTCAAACCATCTTCAGGTCCCACGCTAGATACACCTGAGACCTTATTCTCACGTCCCAGTCAACAGCACGCGTCATCTGCACCGTCTACGGACGAGACGACAGTCTCACGTCCAGATCAGCAGACCACGCTGCCCTTGACTTCGGATGAGACTACTGTCTCACGTTCCGGTCGCCGAGTACGGTTGCCCGTACGCTTCCGCGACTAGTCGCACAGTCAACAACCGATACGGTGTAGGAATATTCCTATGCTACATGCATGCTACACTCTTCTCTTTTTTGATTTTCTTTTTGTTTCCTGAGCCTACGCCTTCGACCATCTCCGTTTGGTTCCGTCGATTTCAGTCAACTTTGGCGAAAGCTGGATTGGCCACCCACGCTCTTGTCAACGCACTCAGTCGATATTTTGGTTTCGAATGCTTGGCATACGCTTGGTCTCGAACTTGGTCGTTACGGTCGCTTCTGGTCTTTTGGCTGAACGTGGTTTCGTCCTTCGTCTGCAGCGTTTCTGGTCCGCATTCCCTACGAACGCAATCTTCAGATTCTGGATACAAACCACTCTGGTGTGACATGCCAACTCAAGCAATAAATACAGCACATCGCTCCTGGTACCGTTCTCCGAAAACGACCTTCGTTGGCAACTCGACGATCAACGATCGCTTTCCTGTTCACCAATTCTTCCGTCCTACAATCGCTCGTCAGCCGATCAGTCCCACGATTTAAACCGCTATTTATCGAAAGTGTAAGCCCTTTCTAGCGGGGGGATCCTGTAGCGACCTACCATTTATCACGAGAACACGACTGATTTAATAAAAACAATTATTATTATAACCAACTGTACCAGTGTTTGTTTTAATGTGCTTTTGTTTAACTGTGCTAATTATAGCCATTTTGTGCTTCCATTACCTTCCATCATTGTTCCGCGGTTTTTGGTACTGTTCGCACGTATTCCTGTCTTCTGCTTCCACTTGTACCATTCCTTGGCACGATCTCGGTATTCGTTCAATACCACGAGATTGCCAACCAAATAAATCTGGTTACGTTCAGCCTCCGCCTTCTGATTTACCTGGCACGTGTTTCTTGGTAGCGGTGTTCATAGATAATCTCAACTCGACGCCACGCTACAGACTCTAATCAGCTCCAATTTTGGTGAACTTTCACACTAAAAAAATACTGCAACGTTACTTAAACAAGAGTTTTGAGGTCTTGTATCTATGTATCTTACACATCATTATCAGTAACAATTTGTGGATTCCAATAACTTTGTAAGGAATCCATGTTTACATGAGATGATAACTACTGGAATCAAGTTTCTGAATGATTAGAAACACTAAGGTGAATAAGCGTCTCATGCGTTTCTCTCAAAATTAATTATGGGATGTATAATAATAGAAGAGTTTAACGTAAAGGTAAATGTTTTATGATGCTTGAGAAATAGTGGTTTATTCTTTGGAGGTAAGACCACAATATCGTTCTAACTGTTCTATTCACACGAACATAACATCAATTTTGTTGAAATGCTCACCTCGCTTTCATGAGATAGTATTCTTATTAAGTCTGCTGATAATTAAAATTAGGAAATCAATTGACGTTTTCCTTTATGTTGGGCAGAATTCATAATCAATAGAATAATTTCAAGGAAGTATCGGGTAGAAGGTAGATTCATTGATTTTAGAGAGTATTTTACACCAATTCAAAACCTTTTACCCAAAGTATAGTGGAAAGTTTTCGCATGGTTGTTATACAGTGTCCATGGCATTCATTTGATCCTACTTGGAACTCGTCAGTTAAACGTTTGTACATTTCATTGTTGATGTTAACACAGTGACTCAAGTCCGTTTACTTTTTTTAAACGGTAGCTTTTCCTCAGTGATCCAGAGTTAAAGTTGAAACAAACTTTTATAGTAAGTAATAGGGTATTGGTGAAGGCTTGTAACTGGTTTGTTGTAGGTATTTATAAATGTCGAATTCTATATGGATTAAAACTCTCGGATTCCGATGCTAGGCACATACCATGTACATTAAATTACTGTATTGTCTTGTCGAAACAGTGGATAACTTAAAAATGATATGGAAGCTTTTCAGCCTATATAAACCGAATCATAAGGTGAGTACAAATAATGATCTAGAGAAAGAACTGAAACAAATTCAACTGTGCCACTTCAACAGAGTTTGTGTAATTTTTCAAGAGACGATGACCCAGTATTATACTACAGTAAATTACTCTGAGAATAGCACGCACCATTTGATGCATAACAACTCTGAGATTAATGGCAAGAAAACGCTGAAAAGCCCTTCACAGCATTTCGTTGTACAGTACAGTCATTTATTTGCTTATTCTCCCTGTCGTGTATTTTAACCTTCATTCAAATCTCTTTTAACCACAATTTGTCTTCTTTGGTCCTCCTTGTCTGAGCTTTTACTTTGGTTAAAGATTTGCCTTCTGCTACCCAATTTTTCTGTTGCACATTTTCGCACTATTGACAATAAGATTGTGTTTGCCTAAGCTCAAGTACACGGCGTGGTCCAGTGTATGATTGTTAATCTTTGACTATCTTCTTGGAAAGACTACTGGAATCCCTGAGGATAGATATTTGATCCAGTCTCGTTGGGAATATTTTTATTGATTCTCAGGTGTTGAACTCTTGTGTATTAACCACCCCTTTTGTTGTTTATCACTCCAATTTGTGTTAGAGAAATTCTTGACTGCATAGCACAGGCTGCATCGTTTGAGGTATTTTATATTTTTGATATAATGTGTTCTCCTCCTCAAATTAGAACCATTTAAATTGGGCACGGAGCTTGTGTTTTTGATATGATTTAATACGAGTAAATCAAAAACGCATCGCACTCTGTACAGAAGAACGTAGTCTGGTCTAATCGAACAAACTTTGTTTAGCTAGTTCTGCATTCAAATCGAATACTAGCATTTTGGTCGTTACATACAGATTCACAGCTTAATACTTTCTCGTTCTCGTTGATGGACAACTACGAGATCTCTGATTTGACTTTGTACGAATCCTTTAAGACATTAGTTATGCTATGCTAAGGTGGCTTCAGTATATTCCTACCGCAACACATTGTAATTACAGTTATTTAACGGAGGCGACTTTCAATCTACACCGAACAATAGGGGTCAGTATTGATCTTCCACTGACAATTACTTTTTACCAACTACTTTCTTGTCGGTTTTGGATAAAAATATTTGCAACTTTTCTAGTTATCTGTTCCATTTCATCATTGGGTATTACCCGTTAATATATATATTCAGATACTTGCCGCTTTCTTATAATAAAATCTGTTAGCCTGTTTGGCAGTCGTCTGAGGGGCACGTTATTGATATTCATATTTTTTTGTGAGGGACGATATCCGAGTTGTAAAGCATAAGCATGTTGAAGATGGGGTGATAAGCTATCTATTTGATCTGTTTTGTAGAATTCAGCGCTCACACTATTTATTATTCTTGAGCAAAGTCCCGCAGCAGCGTATACTTTATTAAATATACGATATGAGTTGGCAGGGACATTCACATACTTCATGTGCTCATACCCAGTATCAAACCCGTAGATGAGTATTTGCTGACAGAGTCCCCTAGGAAGTGTAAAGTGTTACTATTCTATGTCATGACCAGTCGCTGTTTTCAGGGATAGCGAGCTTTTGGTTGTTCAATTAATTATTCTACCTGAATTTGTCTGAAACGTGACGAGCCGAGGGTTTCATATCGCTTCATATCTTTAAAGGAACTGGAGATATAGTAGGCATGGAGTTAAACCTAATTGATAGACCATTAATACGAAAAAAACGACAGTGTCAGATAGCATGGAATATTGCATTGTTCTAATTCATACTGTGAAAAAATATCACGATTTTACGCAGGTTCGGACGGTTTGTGGCCCTCATATAAGTGTAATCTTCCAACTACTTAGTCAGATACGCATCGATAATCACTCAATTTCATTTAATTTGCAAAAGCATCTGGACAATAATACTGGTTGACTTGGAGGTATTCAGCAAACATTAATGTACCAATACAGCCAACAAAAACCACAGGCTTACTTCAAAACATTGGTTACATGTTTATAAAGTCACTTCTTCCTCTGCTTTGAAAAAAAAGTTTTTACAGTGTTCCATTTCTTTGTTTTACCAACTCACATACTTGTAAGTTTACTCAGGGTCGCCTAAAAGTTATATTTGAAATCACTCATGTGGTTAGCTTGTGGATGATAGCTAGAAATGGGTAAGGAGTAAAATATAAAAAGTAATAAAGTTCGCTAAAACTTAAGGTAAAATTTATTGTGATAAGTGCCGTCGAAAATGCCGCGGAGATGTTTTGCGAGTATCAAATAAGTATTTTCATAAGGACTGTTTTAAATGCACAAGTAAGAAATCTCAGACTTATCAAACAATACATAGAATGTAACAAAAGCCTTGAACATGGCGGATTTTTCGTGAAGGATGGTGGTTTCTATTGTCAGGATGATTATCGGCGTTATTTTATTGCAAAATGCAAAATTTGTTCGGAGGATCTAACTGGAGAAGTAGTGACAGCCCTCAATTTCTCTTTTCATCGAGGTTGCTTCAAATGTAATAAGTGTTCGTAAGTTTTAGTTCCTAAGGTTCTATCGTAATTATTTTGTGTCACATGGTTATGATTTCGTGAACTAAATATCTGACTTACTTATAATGATACCGCCGCAAGTGCAATTAACTTCTATAGGAGGTATAAATACAGTTTATAAAGTCTATAGACTTCGCGGTTGGTAGTATTCATACCTTAACGACGTCCCGGTTCATGAAATTTAACTCTGTTGTTAACGAACTTTCCCACGATTTGGTGATTATCGTATTTTTGGTGATATCAACGTAGCTTTGACTGATTTTAAACAGAAATAAATTGGTTGTCTCACCAAGCACTAGCAGATGCCACAAATTATCATTGAGCTTAGTTATTAGTCTCTCTTAAGGAGAGTAGATAATGTACAAAATCTCGTTTCGTGTGAATTCGGAAACTTGCCTTCCCAGTATATATGACAGCAACGTCATGTTTCTTATTGCAGTTAGGTAAAGTGTGGCTTTATACTAGTTGCTGGTTCGTGTTGGCGTTCCATACTAGGTATGCGTATTCGGTCAGCCATCATAACATCGTATATGGTTCGTCTAAACACTGCATAGAATCAAAATCAATAACGAATTTGCCATTTATACTCCATGATGTTAATTTTTTTGTCTCATTTATGTCCTTGCTTGGCAGTAAATCTAAGCGAGTCAACCGCTACTCAAGATGTGCATTAAACAGTATTCTCACTAGCAATGCATATAATTCTGATTAAAATTCTATCTCCCTATTTTTGGGTCTATGGTTCGACCCGTTTAATATAAAGCAACAAGCTAGTAACTAATAAATTTGTAAGGCAACACATTACTTTGGAAATTAAAATCCGAAATTTTGAACTTCCCTTTACTTTAAGAGATCGTAGTAACAATGCAATGTTACATATACAGTCCATTAAAGCAATATTTATGCTTTCATATGATGTTATTTCCGTAAGTTTTAGTTCGTGTGAGTGAAAAATTTTTCATTATGATTTGTCGTTTCCTTCTAATTTTTGCAATAGGATCACGTTCCGTCCTGGTGATCGCGTTACTGTTTGGCAGGAGAAATTCTATTGTCCACATTGTATCAATCAAGTATGCTCTTCTGCAACTGTTGGTAGTATTCCTAGTAAGAACCTTCTCCAGACACCTTTGTCTGTTACTGATGATGAAGGTTGTGTCAGTGCCAGTGATATGGCATCGTCACAGTATATTCATGAGCAGCTAATCGAGATGAACCAACCGCAAAACGATTTCTCGTGCATTTCTTCTGCTGGACTTCCTCAAAAATCAAGATCTATTCTTCGAAAACCTGTCATAGAACAAAATGGTCTTCATGCATCCAAGGAGAAAGGATACTTAAGTAAATCATTACATTACCGAGTCTTAATTTTAATTCGCAGGCACAGATTCTGGTCTCGGAGAGCGTTTATGCGAAGTAAGCCATAAGTATTATAAAAAACCTTTCGCTCATATATTCACTTAAGAAATTAAGTATTGGATTATCGGATTGTTATGTTGTCATTTGTAACATTTTCCGAATGGCTTATGGTTTGATATGTTGGTAAAATAACTTTCCAACAACGTCCCATCTACCTACTAAATTTACTAGCATTACGTTATTCTCATTTTTGTAAATGCTAACATGCAGAAACAGTAGTTATTCTTCATGTTTGAATGTGTATGGTTTCGGTAATTTATGACTGCTAAGCATTAATTTGCAAAACTAATATATCATCATTAGTTAGGCTTTGATTCCACAAATTTCAGAATAAAAGTGATCTGATTTCTTTCTTGGTTTCATGTAAAAATAAAAACACTGGGGTAGATTTGTTTTGAGAACATATGTTTTTACCACTTCGAAATATATTCTGTTAAACGACTGATAGATAATTATAACAATGCAGTTTAAAACTGGTTTTAGTCGCAATATAAATCCACTTTTATTTTACGCTTGTACAACAAAGTATCGTTCTAATTAAATTATATTCACTTCCATTTATCTTTCTTCTATGTACCCTATTCATGTTTTTACGACCAGCGAAATCTAATTGTTTGGTACATTTTTTGAATTAAATAGCAAATTAAACTACGTTTTTATGTCTTTTTCAACCTAACTTAACAAAGCGAAGGTTATTTTTAATGTAATTCTTATAGTGGTAAACTTAATAATGACAATGTATCAGGATAAATTATGTAAAAAAGCAGTATAACTCACTAAGTATTGCTGTTAAGCTATATTTTTTTATGTGGTTAGTTAGTGATAACAGCAAACTGTTTTAACCAAAGTAGTTGATGTGTAGTTTGTGCCTCCAATCTGACAACTTTCGAATCAGTCCACATGTTTTAGACAACGTTGTACTTGCAAAATAAACTTTTATTGCTATTAGAGTACTATGATTCAATTTATTTGCTGTGCAACGTAAAACCTAGTATATTTCCATTGATGCAATTCGCCAAACCACATAAACACAGTGAGATTAAATTGTCCAGAAAAATTTTAGTCAGAGCAGTAAAAGTAATAACATTGTTAGTACCAGAAGAAAACCGCTGGGCATAGATAATGTAATTTGAGGAGACAATGAATTCGCGGATTAAAATGTATGAGAGACTTTTGAAACTCATGATCTAGTTGAAGATAAAGTGGATGCTCATCTGTTCCATAAAGTTGATTGTCAGCTATATCACAAAATATCTCCAACAACTAATTAAAATAACACACTAACGCCAACCAGGTTGTCTGAGTCAATAAAAATTTCAGGACTCGAACCCCTGATTTTCCTCATTTTTAGTCAGACGTTGTGACACAAGCCACAGGTGTTCAAACACTGGTTAATGGTTATGTAGAATAACTGTTCGTATTCTTTTATCAAATTACGTTACCAGTTTGCCGAACAGTTGTAATTATTTGGCAGTGTATGGATATGATAAATGGCTCGGAATTTTAAGTGTTTAGAATGAGTTATTAGCTGGTTGTAATTCTGTGTTGAATATCATCCATATCACACTTTTATTCTGAAGTATTCATTCGCATCACCACACATGTGTGGTGATGGTTAGGAGTCGTTCTGTACCTTTCACAGTAAGCTTGTTTTTCGGCTCTGTTGTTATTTTAAATTTATTCAAAGTCCTTTTCTCACTATAATTTTCTAGTCAACCAATTTGGAGGATTCAAACTATAGGCATTTATCTGTTGGAAACTCTGATCAGGATAAAACTAATATACGTCAGGAGAAGTCTCACACTCTGTCTTTCCATCTGTCTAGACACGTAAGTTTCTGAAGAGTTATTTTCAAAATAAATCATACAAAGTGAACAACTGGTAATTTTAAAAAGTGTCTGCCAATTTTTAATTGGTGCAGACAAAAATTTACTAGTGTGGTGCAGACATATCTATTCCTCATATTTCTTTGAATCTAAAATATGCTATAACCATATTTCCCTGTCTCCCTCTACATACATATATACCTTATATATCCATATCCTTAATTAAGAATCATTTTCTCCGGCTTATTGATTTGTTACGTATTTTTAAACATGGAATGGTAACCAATATCATATCTGTTTTATCCTTGTCGTACTGATCGAATCCAATCGATCACGTTGCAATATGGCTACCCATCTAAGTTACTTAATATCTTGTGCACTTGACACTTGACAAAGGTAATCGATAGGAAACCACGAATCTAGGTTTCACTCACGAATGTTAGGATAATTAAGCGAGCGATCTTAAGATCAGACCCAGGGTACTAGGTAAAAAATGACAAATTGATTGATGAAATAGTGGATCTTCATCGACTGAAAGTGGTTTGGATATGTACTATGTGTATATTTAACCACCTACATCAACAAACTGTTTGCTGGTGTAATAGTAAGTTCAAAGATAGGTAAGGACAACCAAACCAAAACATGAGGTCTTTCCATAAAGTTGTTATCAGTTGGGCTGAGCCATGCTCGTTGGGGTCTGCAAAAGCATTAAAACAAGTTATTGCAAAAGTTAGTTGATGTAGCTCAGAATTTGTCGTGATAATGTATGTCAGTTTATTCTTTTTTTTCTTTTGGATCTTGAGTTTTAAAATTGCCTTGTAGTTTTTTACTCCGATAATTCATTTTTCCTTCTGAGACCATCATACATTCAATGTCTAATATTTTCTACCACTGACATCTCTACTACTTTGATTATTCTGGCAGTTTTCTTGATGATTTCACTGTACTGACATAAGATGACAATTCAAAACAATGTACATATGTTTGACTCTACGTTACCTATGATTGATTGGCCAACCCACCTATTACAACCAAGCTTCAAACATCAAAGCCTAATCGGAAGTTAACAAAAGGTTTCGAAATCTAGAAAGTTCAAATCTGCATTCCTAACAACTAGATTTCCACTAAGAATATTTTTAGTTTATTTCAAATCATTATGCACACATATACACCGACATTTTTCTTTTGTTTTGAATTCTGAAAAGTTTAGGATTTTTCAACAAACTAAACTTTTGTCCAATAAGCAATTTGTTTTGTTCGTTGAATGTATTTGTGGTGGTATGCCAAAACATTTGATTCGTTCATATGTAACATACATGTTTACGGTAAAAAAAAGTGTATGTTAACCCAATATATTAAACAATTGTCAAAGTTTTATGTGTTCAAAGTGACTTTTCAATGTAATTTATTTTACTCAACTATGTAGTTGAATAAGAGAGACTGGAACACTGAACACAGCAAGAAAATTTAAATTTTTAAGTCAAATGTGAAACTAAACCACCATTAAATCACAACTATTTCTCTAATAACGTGGTAATTCATAAAGGGGGGATAAATAAAGCAAATTAAGATAACTTTTGTTAGATCACATTAATCATCACCTGTCTAACTAAAGTTTACACTTAGATTGTTGGGAGGAGTCGGCAGGGAACTTTGTTTGACCTAGAGTTTGTGCTAGCTGGGATTCGTCAGCAAGTTGTACCAGTAATATTGATAGGACATACTGCTTCACAATCTAATACGGTGGTACCTAGCTGTTCCGCCTGTGACTAACTTCTATTAAGATTTAGGTGTTCAAAACAACCTGTCAATCCCTGCTGATTATCTAAATACTCCTAACATCAAAACATTGTGCACGCTATGCAAAGTCCCTTATACTAGTACCCATATAACAATCTGATAAATAGAATAGTCATCATCCCATATGAAATGTGATTATGAAAGGAGAAGTGATGTCGGAGAATATGTATTCTCAGTTGATTTTATGGTGTGGAAAATTCTTTTCTTGTAGAGACTAATAATCAACCAACCAGTTAATTACTAAAAAAGTAAAACATTTCACAAGAGAGTTTCGGTTTAGACCAGCCGTATTTCATATCAACATAAAAAAGAGGAAATTAACCGCGACGTACAATGATTAGTTCAGAGTAGTAGTACGACTGATAATAGAAAAAGCTTATAATGGTAAGTGTGGCTTTAAATATCTAGGAATAAAAAGTATAAGATATAGTTACAGTTTCTAACGTAAAGAAAATATGAAAAAATGAATGCAACTACTCTTGTGATTGATTTAAATCCGTATAATTTGACATTTCTGACGATGGATCACTGATATTTCACGAATTCCAAGCAGGAAGTCTACACATACTAACCTGGTTCAATTCAACCGTAAGTGAATTATTCTACTTATTTCACGTCTTCGTCCCATTGCGTCTAGCTTTTTTCGAATATTTTCCTTCCAAATTTAGCACTAGATGTTGACATAAGCGGTGAGTAGTAAACATGCACCCTGACTGAGACGATGAAAAATAGCTTTACCAATCGATAAGCTATTTCTACTTAAGATGCTACGTCTAACTTCAGCACCGCGCTTACTTAGGAATTAAGACGCTTGATTATCAAGTCATTAATTTGAATTAACTTCAACTATTCTGATTTGATTAGACATGCTCTCTGAAAATGTAACTATTTTGGTTTACAATATTTATTTACTTTATTTGGTGTGTATTTTAGAGTTTATGTGGACGAGTACCAAGCTCTAACTATGGTCGATATTTAAATCAATCCTATATACAATTGAGTAATCAAATCCCCATACAGAATAATGATCGATATAAACGTAACGTATCCACTACAACTTTAAATAATTCGTCACAACCACGACAATTTCACTTACCTGATGGTTAGTTTTATGATTTACATGGTTATATAGATACAACTGATTTTTAATAACCGAATAATAGAATAATAATCAATCACATTGATTGACGGTTAAACGTTATCCAATACACGTTTATTGGTTTCTTAGCTCTGACCCAGTCCTATTGGTCAAGTTGCAATATGGTCGCAAATCCAAGTAATTCGACAATCTGTGTACCGTGCTTTGGTGTTAGTTGTTTGGAGGTAGTTGATAACAGACCCTGAATCTAGGTTTCGTCTATGTCGGTTCTTGTCAGCAAGGTTTATCTGCAGTCTTTAATGAGTTTATCATCCTTATGGGATTCGAACGAGTGCCTTTGAATTTCACAGTTTTAGATGCATTCACTCTTTGTCTCTCCCTAGTTATTAAGATCTAAAATTATCTTGTACTTTCTGTATTGAGGATTCATTCTTCGTTCCTGGATCATCAGGTTTTCTATGAGTAATCATTCGAACTACTACTGATATTGTTACTACCTCTACTAATCTGGTATATCAGTGTGCTGATATGTGTGTGGTGATTTGAAATATTACATTTTTGACATGTTCTTTGATGCTTAAAAATGGCTGACAAATTCTCAATTCAAGACAAAAACACTTATCTTAAACGCTTTGAATTTCAATCAGCCAGCTACAACGTAGGACCAGACACATATACACACACCTCATTAGTAATATATAAGAGAAAGTTTGTGTATAAAGATATAATACAGAAAGAAAGAATTAGTTCGTAGAAATGAAGATATAAAGCAATTTTAATCTCGGTTTAAGAGGAGACAAAGAGTGTATACACCAACGCCATTGTGGTCGATTCTGAGCCATGTCGCCAAGAGTCTCCAAACATTGGTTACGATAGTCACACGGACCCCAACCAAGTAGTCTGCATCTATCAACACAGCTCACACCAGAGGTTAGTGACTTCGAGCACTGATGCCACGTTTTGGTTTGGCAGCTTCTAACTTGCCTCCAACCATCTCTAACACTTGTCAGCATTGCGCGTCGTGGTAATCGGCGTTCAGACATACGTAAAACATAGCCCAACCATCTCAGTCGACGAATATTTATAACCTCATCAACTGATTTACCATCATTCCCTAATACCCTGTGTCTAACCTCACTATGACTTACTCGTTGATCCCAGCAGATGCGAGCAATATTTCTAAGGCATCTGTAATCAAATACTAGTTAATATTAAAGACTGCAACTGATCATATTCTCCTGGCATATGTACAACATGAGCGGGTGGCCTCAATATTGTCATTTACTCACATATTTTAATTGAATTTGGCCAGCAGTGGAATTCAATGTGCCATCAGAGGCTGGTCAGTTTTAAAGATCAACAAAGGGAAAATATAAGCTTTTACAAATACAATACATGTGAGTTGTACTAGCTAGTAAGGATCTGGGCTCAACAGCTTAGTAAGTAACACGTTAGGTATTTGAAACGAAATGCACATTAACGATGGAATTTAGGTTCATCCAATTGTAACATTTCCAAAATCTCACTAAATAAATGTACTGAAATCCACTACCACAAAGAGAGAGAGAGAAGGCGGGAGGTAAAAAAACTCCAGAATAAATGGGATAATGAAACTTCATCAGTTGAGATGGCTGGGACACGTGTTACGTATGCACAACGACCGATTGTCTCGACGTGCGATGTTCAGTGGTATAGGAGTAGGCTGAAAGAAAGCTAGGGGCGGCCAGAGCAGAACATGGCACAAACCCATGAAGTCACTGACAAGTGGACTGAGGCATGTTGGTAGGTGTAGACTACCTGGTTGCGGACCGCGAGATGATAGCAACCGATGGTTAGAGACCCTGAATGGCATGGCTCAAAATCGTTTGCAATGGCTCAGGTGCGTCCACTCTTTGTGTTCTCCCAAATTTTGATCTCCTTATTCCTCCTTGTCTCTTTCTTTCTTTTCCCAAATTTATTTCACTCGATTATACCCCTTGAAACCCTAATGTATCTGATTACTGCTTATACTTTTACTACATCTAGCACTACGGGATTCGAATCGACAACTGCATCTTTGTGCTAATGTGGTGTGGCAACTCTAATTGATGTACGTACGTAAGAAGTTCTACGTTGTTACTGACTGACTGACTAACTGACTTTCATTTAGCATTGCTTGTAATTTAACTACATACGTGAATTCTTCTAAACAACCGAATTGTTGGTTTCTTCTAGTTTGTTGAATTACTGTTAACAATCGCTGGATTTGATCACATATGCCAATACATAAATTCTATTAATTTTTCCTTATAATCTGTAAAAAACCCAAAAGATTATATTTATGTGTATTATGTTCCTAGTATTGGTTTTATTCGGTGTTTTTTTCTTTCCAAAAAAGCATGTTATATTACGCTGCATTATGTTTCAGGTTTTTCTCACAAGTACTGCAGATTATGTAATATTGAGCTGTTTTAAAATTAAATAAATATCGATCAGTGGATCCATTTTTATATCAATAAACTAGATATTGAATCAAACTGACACTAAGGCAATAATAGTTATGCGATAGCAACAACAATAACAAAGTGACTGAATGAAAATTTCTCTTAAATAAGTAACTAAAAAGAATAGGACTATCTTATCTACATAGTTTGTAATGACTTACGACTGTTTGTTTGTTTTCTCTGTCAATAGTTTACAATTTTATGTGGGTTGTTAGTTTCGGCAAAAAACTTGATTTATATACTGTTTGTTGTTTCATTTAGAAGGCATATCGCGTTCTCTGAAAGCTGGCTGACTGACTGATTTATAGTCGTGAAGCTCCGTTAATCTCTCTTAGAAACAACAGGATCGCATACTTTCAAAAGTTTTAGTAAAATTTCTCCACGTATCATTGTTGTAGTTTGTTTTGTAGTGGTGAAATTTTACGGCTTATTGTTGATAATTTTAATTTCTTCTTTAGTTTATACTGATGCTGATGATGTTATTTAAAATTGTGACGAAATCACTGTAGAACTAGCCAGATCAAATAATGTAAAACTTTCGAAATCTGCTTCCGAGTTACAAATTTCCCTCATCATATCTTATTATTAAGTGCTGGTTGGAGTTAGGTGGTTGGTAAAAAATCTTAAATCTAAGCTTCATCGAAAAGGCTTACATCCGATCGTGAAGTTACTGATACCTTCTTGAAATTTGAACCCACGTCACTCAGCTTCACAGTATGAAACGTCAACACTGAGCTATTTGGCTAGCGACTAATCCCATATGTAACCGAGATTTGTGCATTGATTGGTCATTGAGTTGTAACCGATATCATGTTTATTTATTCCTTAGTGCTGATGAAATTCCATTATAATTTGTTGGTGACGTTTCGTTATATTAGTGCAAACACCCAATTCTTAATAGAGGTCAGTTGTGGACCGAATATATCAGCGGTAGCATGGATATGGTTCACGTGGCTTCGAATTCCATAGAGAACATCACTTCCCACAAAATTGTAGATACACCTTGTTAAAAATCCCAACAAACATAAAATATAGGTTAATGATTACCTGACAACTACCTTCAACCATCTAACATGTTATTATTTTAACATTGCCTAAGTAGGATGACTCAGTATTCTATCGGTTTTCCTTCAACTTCATGAAATAGTTTATAGTTTACTTGTGTAACAATTAAACGTATAGTTCATGTATGTTTGATGAACCATTTATTCTAAGTACAATGACACTAAAATCAGTATTTTTAAAAAATGGAATAATGTGACGTGTTTCATGATACATGAATTATACTTTCATACAAATTTTCAATATCCATAATTTAGAAACTTTATTTCTATTGTATATGGTGCTGACTTTATAATTAATATTATTTTTGAAAAGGGTTTAAATGATCTTGTTATTGATATTGTCGACTAAATTTTGATCAGTCTTTGATTAATATATGTGTATCCTGTGTGAATTATCGCATTATAAACATCTTGTCACGTTATTTAGAATGTAGGTATTGTGGCTAATAGCGGGATGGCTATATTGAAACAATCCACACAGAATATACACTTCCAAATCAAGACTGATCAAGATTCAGTTAATAACATCAACAACGAGACAATCCAAACCCTTTTTGATAAGTCACTGTATTGTTTGCCTGTTTCCTTTTGATTATGATATAAATATCATACTCGTTGAATTAGAAGTTATTTGAACTCACCAACTCCGTGGATAGAAAGTTAGCATTTGAAAGGATTAGTACTGCATTCGGGTCTCAGTCCTAAGATAAATACTGGCATTCAGGTACCTCCAGCTGTGACGAATTCTTGAAAGGATGGAGCGCGCACCATGAATTCCACTGCATGCCACAGACCATATACTAATTATTTTTCTCTTAAGCTAGATTAGTTCATAATTTTTTTATTTAACATACACTAACATTGATTATACTCATCTCTGTCTGCAGCGTTACAAATCAGTAATTGTAACTTCTGAATCTAAAATGTTTAGACACAAGTTTATCTTCATTCTTATAATGCAACAGCATTTTAACAAAATGAAATTAAAACAACTGTCTTGTTTCTTATTTTTACATGTATGTTTAAAACATGTACATCTGTGACTGATTAAGGATTCGGAAACTTGATTTTAAGTGAAGTACACCACTGGTTCCAGTTTTATTAAACATGTCGAGATTCATGGGAGTCATAAGTGATGTGACTAACTTTTTTGATACGTACTCAGCTATAACGTGAAACTAATAAAAAAGATATCTTTCTTTTTCTACCAGTACTAAAAAAATTAAAAACGGTTTAAGTTTAATCAGTCAATTTATTTTACTTTTCTAGGTGGTAAAAGTCGTTTTCTACCGCCCGGTACAAAAGTCTACGCAACATTATTTGGTCGTTCAGCTAGCAGTGCAGTCTCACCATTGTATAATACTTATACAAGTACACCACGTTCAACTAATACTACTAGTACTGCTACTAACAATTGTCGCCCTGACATTATTATATCACGTTCTCTTAATAAACCTTTTGCATTGTCAGCTTTTAATCTACATGATGATAACCTTAAAACTGATAAACTGTCATTATCGACAACAACGTCAACAAAAAAAATCACCAGAATCTTATCTAATACCACTGATGACAATAATAATTACAATGATAACATTAATGGTGACCATACCAGTCAATTAACGTCAAAATCACATCGAACATATATGGATGATATTAGTCAGTCTGGTCCAATTTTACTAAATGATCGTAATATCACATTGGAAACACGTAAATTAGCTTGTTTACCGGCTGGACAAGAACGTGATAAAAGTACGCCGAGGCCAATTGAACGTTATGATTGGCCAGCGCCACCTGCTTCTGGTGTTGTTTTAGCGGAATTAAGTAAGTTGTTGTCTTTTCTGGTTAGATTAGTGTTTTACCTTCGATTATATATGTACATCCAATTCCTAGTTGCCAACACCGTAGAAAGATATTTTTCCTTAGGTGTTTGAGCACGAAGCTGGATTAGCAACGATCTTGGAGACCTGGTAGTGTGACCATAGAGCACGAGAGGCAACTCCTTGGTACTTACCATGCAGTGTTTATTCGATAGGTTCGGAAATTTTCGAATCTAACGTTTTTCTTACCTATCCTTTCGTTATGACATCACACTCCAAGATAGTCATTAGTAAAACTCCACTCTCTGATCTTAGTTCGCCGCTTTCTGTCTTACCGTTCTTCAAAAAACGTACTTACCATGATAAAATCTGAAAGAATTAATGTTACGACTGGGTCATCACAATGTATTAGTCTGACCACTACGTCAAGGTACAATATATATATATAATTTTGAATACCGACTGTACAACAATAAAATGCACGCATGTATAGGGATTGGTTCTGTCCCTCGAAATGCAAAATTTTACTTCAGCATTAACTTGCGTCGTCGCCTGAATTATTGATAGGGAGTGAAATAGATTAACGCATCGATTGCTTCACTTATTTCGGGAGTCTCATCAGTCCTGATGTTCTGGCGTCTGACGAAATCTTGGCACGAATTCACAAGGCACGATTGGCATTTGCCAATTCGTGTCACTTGTGGCGTGTGTGAGATATCGGTCTTTCAACTAAAGGGCGCGTTTTTTGCCCAGCATTTCTCTCTGTTCTACCTTATGGATGTGAAATATGGCCAATAAGAGTAGAGGGTAGTCGTAGATTACCGCTATTCGGTCACAGGTGTCTTTGGAAGTATTACTCGTGTATTTTGGGATGACAGAGCAAGCTTTGTCTGGATTAGCAATAGAGTACTAGGTAAAGATGAGAAGTCGATTGATGAGGTACTAAATCTTCATCAACTGAGGTGGTTGCGACATATGTTACATGTGACCAACCACCACCTACCTCGACGGGCGATTTTTTCTGGTGTACGAATAGGCTGGAAGAATACTGGGAGCGCCCAAATCAAAACGCGGCATCAGTCCATGAAGTCACCGACAAATGAACTTAGCCAGTTAATAGGTGTAGACTAGCTGGTTGTGTTCCGTGTGATCACAGTAACTAATAGTTACATGGCTAAAATGCCGTTTGAAATGGCACAGGTGCATCCATCCTTTGTCTTACACCGAATTCTGAACTCTTCAATCCATCATAACGTTTTTCAGTTCTTCTTTCACTAAGTCATATCCTCTTCAATAGTATCTACGATGCCTAATCTTTTTAATCACCACTAATACTTTGACTACTTCTACTATTCTGGGATTTCGCCTGACAATTCCATCTCTCTGTGCAAATGGGCCATGGCTACCTAAAACCATGTACAGACGTAACAAATTCTACGTCGCGACCGACCGACTGACTTCTCGCTTTGTTTCTGTTAGCGGGACATAGATTAGATTAAAGCATGCTCAATGCATGATTGCTTTGGCGCACGCTGATTGGCTAATTCTTAACCAATCAGCGCTAGTCGATAGTTTGAGAATATTCTGGAATCTTCTTATGTAAAAACTATAAATATACTGACGTTTTCTCTATTGTGCTTCCTACTGGCTTCTGACTTGCTATTTGGAATATAATCTCTTTCCTGTTCAACCGTGTTTTGATTTGGGGACTTGTCGAGTGAATCGGTGTCCGAGAATACTAAGCAATAGGAATAGCTGGGTCATAACCGTAAGAAAACAGAGTTATAACAGTTTCACTATCATAAGACCAATAACGCCACTCAGTAGTGAGGATCAATTTTAGAGGCTCTTGCACGGGGCACAGCAATATCGTATGTGCACCGGAATTAACACCTCTACCTACAATCATACCACAAACACACAACTATCAATTCACGACAACAGGACACAGTCGCGCACAAAATACCACACGAAACATATATTCAGGCATGCACGCACATATCGATACACATACATATATGTACATGTGGTTGTGCCTGTAGCTGTGTAAATATTTCACCAAATTAACATCTAGATTCATCTATTCGCTCAACAACCCAAACACATAGACGTCATTCTCATATTAACTACTTTCACATTCATTCATCCATTCAGTCAGTCAGTCTTTAACCGGTCTCTCTGGTTTACTGTACTTCCCTGCTAGTTTCTTCGTCGTATCGTAAAGCTGTTTCATATTTCCTTCTCTTGCAGCTTTTTCCGCTGTCGTTGCTAGTTCTTTCACGCATTTCTTGTCGGCTTTAATGCTCTTCTTCACTTGCTTGTTTGCTTCTATGTATTCAGCTTGGATTTGCTTGGACTTTCTCTGCTCGTGTTCGGCTGTTGTTAATTGCTGTCTTCTTGTTCTTCCTTTCTTTTATTTTGTCCAGTGTTTCTAAAGAGATCCATTCCTTATGGCGGTGCTTCTTTAGGCCCAGAGCCTCTTGACACGTTGAAGTTAATGCTTCTTTGATACCTTTCCATTTGTCCTCCATAGTAGTTTCTTCTTCCTTCAGTAGATCTTGTAAGGCTTGGAACCTGTTGTTGTGAGCTATCTTGAATTCATTGAGTTTGTCAGTATCTCGAAGGAAGGCTGTATTGAACCTTTGTAGTGCTGTTTGTCCAGTTGCCCAGTTTTTCTTTAGCTTCAGTTTTAAATTGGCCACAACTAGGTGGTGACCTGAAGCTATATCAGCTCCTCTCCTGGTTCTCACATCTTCCATTGTCCTTCGGAATTTTTTATTGATGCAAATATGGTCTATCTGGTTCTCTGTCGTCCCATGCTATCTTCATATCCGGTGTTGTCTATTCCGACTTTGGCATTTAGATCTCCCATCAGAATGGTGAGGTCGTTTCTTGGGTACTTCTCTATGATTGACTGCAGCCGCTCGTAGAATTGATCCTTAATGTCATCGTTGGTGGGTGCATAACATTGGATAATATTCATTGTGATCCTCTCCTTCTTTGTTTTGAATGATGCTTTGATGATTCTGGATCTGTGAGATTCCCATCCTACAAGTGCATTTCGTGCTACTTTGGACAGCGTTAGAACAACTCCCTGAGTGTGTGGAGCATTTTCCTCTTCGTGGCCGGAGTATAGCAGCATCTCTCCCGTATTTAACCTTTGTTGTCCAGCTTGGGTCCAATGGGTTTCGCTGATTCCCAGTACTGCCAAGTTGTATCTCCTCATTTCCGTTGCCATTTGACTGGTCTTCCCGGTCTCCCACATTGTTCGGACGTTCCATGTACCTATAAAAATTGTTGATCTGGTTGTTAGAAGGGGCATCGGCCTCGTGGCTTCCGAAGGAACTCGGCTTTCACCATGAAGCGTCATAATTCTTCTGAATGAAGACCTTCTAACTTTCAGGGCAGAGTTTAAACGGTTTGATTTTTTTTTCTGGTTAGCGTTTTTTTGGCGAGTTATTTTTCTACGGGATGGGGTCGCTAACCCCATACCCAACCCTCCTCCTTTACCCGGGCTTGGGACCGGCAGTAACTCTAGAAGAGCTACAGGCGGAGTTATAACATATATACTTGTATTATATTAAGAAACCCTATACTGAGGTGGTTGACGGCAATCAGTAGGAAGCCTTACTTTACCTATGTTACACTCGACAGTAAATGATATCTGCAATCTTGAATAAACTGACACTTTCAACATCACTTTGTGTCACAGTTAGATAAATTAACGCTGAGCTGTTTGGGCTACAGTGGACCTCCTATCATTTCCTTCAACACTGAAGATGAACTTACTAATGAGCTTTAACCCTTGGTCAAACACAGATTTCTGCGGATTGCCTATTTCATTCACCCAACATGTTCAACACCTGCTATAAAACTCATTATATTACGCTGTCACTAATGGTTTGTACATATACATAAACGAAAGCTCATACATAGCTTAGCTGATGCTCAAGTTAATCATTATTGGTAAAATCTCATTCTTTCTATGTGAAGAAAAAAAATCTCATCAAGTATTTTTACTCAATTTATAGATAATAATGATCGTTCAATGAGAACGGAGAGAAGAAAATAGACATATGATATACTGATTATATTTTGTATGTTACTAGGACAACTGCAACAACTGAATGTGGGCATTCTTCTTGTAACGTTTCTCGCTGAGTAAAAAATATTCCAAATTATTTTAATGTAATCGGTAACCTAACCTCACGGCAATATAAATATAGTTATGCATATACATACATAACGCGTAATAGAACTCTATGCAAATGTGTATGTGTCTATCAGACAGCATAGAAGGATCTACTGGTGAATAGTATCACAAAGTACATTATAATTTTTTTGTTTTGCAATGAAAGATAAAGCCTTATTGATTTGTTAGAGATTGGAACATATGCCAATATTCCAGTAACCTTATATATATATATATATATAAGCCGACGTCCCACATCAAGCAGTGGCTACTTTTGGGTAGTACATGTTCTTAACGTTTGACTCGATGGCGGTCTACAGCTTCACCTAAACGGTTTCATGTTCAAATCTCACCTCATCTAATTCCGTTTGTGCAACCGGATAGTCAGTTTCACGGGTATCTCACAAGCAATCGCTAAATAAGTCACATTTTTGCTTCGTACTCTGCTTAATCTGGGCAACACTCATTTAGCGATTCCATTATATTCTCTGAATACTTTAAAAACACCTGTAAACAAATACTTATAACTTGCGTGTTTTGCAGTTATAGAGTTATACAACACGAACTGTTGTCCAGTATATTCATCTCTTTTGGTCAGTAGATTAATATTTTGTCTACTACATAAGGCCACAGAATAGTAGATACTAAGATAAGTTTTTAAATTTTGACGAAATTGTATCACCAAGAACCCCGTTAGAACTGGTAATAGTATCATCAGTTTTTTATTATTTTTATTTCAACACATAAATATCGGTACAAGAGGGCACCAAATAGATATGCGCCACACCATATTTGTGTGTATGTGTGTGGGT